TTCTGGCAATTCCGTGACCGTGGAGAGGCTAACTTAGTTTTTCAGTGGATTTGTCTTCCTTGAAGGTATTATAACAAAAATAGCTTGGGTGTCTCTCGCGAAAGTGTGGGCATAACCCGTGAGAGCCCTAAATCCAAAATCCAGGTGTCGAAAGGTCAGCATTTGTAGGTAATAGAAAATGAAACTTTTAGCTAGTTACTGTACATTGGCTATAACATTCCAGTTAGTTCCAGTGTACTGTATAGTAGATATCCAGAAATTCATATTGATGTCCAATTAGTTTAGATTTGACCTTCAAATCCATACTGCTGATTTTCAGCTCGCAATTGTCAAATGTTCAAATTTTATGCAAGTAAAAACTACACTAAGTGCATCTCAGAAGGTAACAGGTTACAAACATTGGCTCTCAATGGTCAAAAAGTCGCATTTTACAATGTGTGACTTTGACTTTGTACTTTAACACAAAACTTTTACCCTCAGTCTCACGTACAGTAGATGCTCCCTCGCTTCAGAGAGCATCGCATCAGTAGATCACCTACTGATGTTGCGTCTTAACTGGGATCGAAACATAAGCGTTGGATACACGTCTGTCTAGTACAACGTCTTCATTGTATCTTTGTTATCAATTGGCATAGGCTGAGAGCAGCATTGTATCTGACTCTGAATCCATAATCTCTGCTTGCCACACCAGTGCTCAGGTTCTCACCTTCACAGTAAACGATGTCACTTTGCACCCACCAAATTTGTGTTTTTAACAATCCTTCAAGCTTCTGAAGTTTCACCTTGTTTGCAGAATAAACCACACTTCATTTGGTGGGTTTGGAAACTGTAGAAAATTTCACACCCTATCAGTCGTTGATATAGCTAAAAGGGGAGGAGGGATGGCACAGAGTACCAGTGGAGTGACTACTTGAAAAGAATAAAAAAGCACCATCATAAACTCATGCCACGCTCTTGCATGGCTTATCAAACTTATCATGATAAGTATTTCCCTTTCTACAGTATCAAGGATGATGTGCGTGACCAATGGGCAGCAAAATATCTACACATAACAATATACACACCAAATATTTTTCCCAAATCCAAAGACATGGTCAGTGCTCACAGAAGGTATCACAAATACCATCATACCTTTCTTTGTGAGCACTGCCAATGACCACACATTTTGGTATTTTGGGTACAGAAAAAATCGAAAAAGGTGATTGACGACTCCTGAAGTGAGGAAACTGCTAATCGAATGCATGAAGGTCTGAAGTTAAAGGATGAAGACAAAACTGATGAAATCGTTTGTCCTCTCCAGTTGATGTTCTGTAATTAAAGAAATTAAGGTTTGTATATCTTGAACTCAGTGTATTTTGTCTACAGAAGTCGATTAAATCCATTATTTTTTTTACACAAGAAGAAGGAGCTGCGACCAATTGAAGACCAGTTGAAACTGGGTCCAGCTGAAGACCAGTTGAATTGTTAAAAATCGCAACACCCAATTTGGTTCTAGTTCAAACTGGTCCAACTGGGATTTTTACCTCGGTTACATTTCAGCCCCTGTACGGCTCTGAAAATGCCCCCAGATATAGCACATGAATTAATTTGGTCAAACCCATATGGGTCCCAAATGAAACCATAATGCAAACCTAATTGCCAAATATATTCTTTAAAGGGCACATAAGTTCATTTAGGCCTACTTTTGTGGGATCCTGATGGATTTAGGGTGCACAGGCAGCTCTTTCCAGTATGGGTCAATTTATAGGGTCCCTTACATTTCAACCCCTATTCAACCATTAAAAACCCAGATATTACCCATAATGGGCCCATGAATTAATTTGGTCAGTAAGGTCTATACTGAGTCCAGATATCACCTTCTGGTAGGCCTGAGCTTCCAATGGGTGTAAACTGAGACGAGTACAGCCGGCCTTCCACCTGATGAAGACACATTGCACCATTTGAACAAGGACAAACTAAATCACATATTGCCAATGCCATTTTAAGTTGTTAGACTAGCATCCGTCCTCCATTTGTCATGGTTAAGAAATCTTGAATTGTCGACCAGTACCCTGCCACCTTTGCTGCACCAGCTCGCTAGTGACTATTTTCAGAACCAGCGATGAGAGTACAATAGTACTACTGTAGAAGCGATACAACAGACTCGGATGAGGAGTAGCAGCCTATTGTTTAATAAATAACTTACTTTGTTTAGTTGTTAATTCAGGAAATTAGTATTAGAGTTAGAATATATTACAAATGTAACCTTTTAACTTCTGAGATGAACTTGAACTTGAACATTTGACCGCGTCGGCTGAAAATTAGCAGCATTCTTGGATTTTAATGTCAAACCTTTAAAATCAATCGGACCTCAAATAAGAATTCCTGGATATTAACAGTACACTACTACACTGGAATGTTATAACCAATGTAACTAGTTAAAAACTTCCATCCCATTAACCACAAATGCTGACCTATGACACATGAGATGACCTCAACAGAGGAAATTTAGATTTGAAGGTCAATCAATGAGTCATCAAATGTGAATTCCAGAATATTAATAGTACAGTACACGGGAATTTTATAACCAATGGAACTAAAAAAGCTTCTTTTTTATTAATTAATATTGACCTTTGACACATGTGATGACCTCAGCAGCATTTTTAGATTTGAAGGTCAAATCCAAATCAATCAGACATTAATATGAATTCCTATATATAAACAGTACAGTAAAATGAAATTTTATAAAGCAACGAAACGAATAACTTCATTTTTAATAAACCACAAATGTTGACCATTGACCTCTGAGATGACCTCTGTATAAATAATTGTACTTTTATTGTTTGTCAGTCAATTCAGCATGATCTGAGCTTTCGTTAAGCATTTTATAGAGGCAGTATGATGATTTTACAAAAAAATGAAGATTTTGAAGAGTAATTGGCGGCCATATTGGATTTGAAGGTCAAAACCCCTAAATCCATGAACTAAAGCAGACATATAGGCCAAAAAACAGAAAAAAAATAATAATTTTCAAAATGGCGGAATGCGGCCGTTTTGGATTTAGGGCTCTCACGGGCTATGCCCACACTTTCGCGAGGGACACCCAAGCTATTTTTGTTATTATACCCTCAAGGAAGACAAATCCACTGAGAAACTAAGTTAGCCTCTCCACGATCAAGGAATTGCCAGAAATGACCCAACTAATAAATGTGGGTTGTTGTTTCTCCAAATTTCACGCTTAATAGCGATCATCTAGCAACCCATATTTATACCTAGCGTAAAGATACTATATATATGCTCTATAGTATTG